AGTTGGCTTGTTTTCGAAAGTAGACCAGGGCGTGGTTGGAAGTGGAATTTGACTCAAATGTAACTTAAATTCGATTCAATTTGTATCTAAAGGTAGGCGGGGCCTGCATCTGGTCAGGCTGCTCCCTTTTGGTTTTCTTACGTCACAGACCAGATGAACAGAATAAAGGTGTGTACTTCGTAAACCCGGGTAAAATGTGTGACCTCACAGATCAAATGATCACAACAAATACGTGAATTCTGCATTACGTATAGGTCAATACAAGACATCGTCAGAGAATCTGCTGGGTACCTGCCGGGTGCCTGCCGGATACCGACCAAAGAGGGTGACAAAATTTCTAACAAAATGCTACTGAAGGAAACTTTTAATTGTGACCACGACAGCCGATGCCCGCTCGACTCCTTAACCCGGCCGGGGCCAGCCGGGGCTACATCCCCGACGGGCACCGGCGTAATTGGGACCTTAGCTTCAGTAACGAGCCAAACTAGTATGATGACTTAGTTATGGGTTCACCACACCACGAAGTGGTGGTGAACCCATATTGCTTTTTCTGATGTTTCTTCTCCTCCTTCTCCTTCTCCTCCTTCTCCTGCCATTTTTTAAATGGATTCAGCTTCTTCATTTTAGGGCCCAAGGTCCTGAAATTTGGTATGGAGGTACAGTGGGCAAATACCCCTAGGCGTTTTTTTAAATTTTTGTGATACAGGCTTTTAGAATGGTTTTATTTGAGTTTTTTGGCTGTGTTATAGCAAATGTATTACTGTGTTAGTGTGCCGTGTTTACCACGTCTGGGCATGAGTCATCACAGTGGAATGCAGGGCATCAACCAATAGGCATGCAGCTTTCCTCTATACTTCTTGCTGATTGGCTGTTGGGATTTAACTTGATTAACACCTGCACAGAGCATTTCCACCTGCACAGAGCATTTGTTGCTGATTGGCTGTTGGGATTTAACTTGATTAACACCTGCACAGAGCATTTCCATACTGACAGTATGTCTTTATTCAAGTGTTTTGGTAGGTATTTCAAGCTTTTCTGCTCCAGCATTGGAATGCGGGGCATGAACGTTTTTTTTTTTTAAATCAACAGTTTGCATTATGCAATTAAAAATCCTAACCAATAAAGTAGGGAAGAGCTATCCAACTGTTGTTTTAGTTGTATGTTACTTCATATTATAGTTATATCAATGTAAATCATTGTTTTCCCTTGTGTTTCTCATTCTTTCCCTGCCATGTGGTAAAATGTGGTGAACCCATCGCTGTATTTGCTCCAAAGCAAATATTGGCCTTTCTAGTTCAAATATAGAATCTCTAACCGTGACGAGAAAGCCTAAAAGAGGTTGGTGGATAGAAGAGTGAAGTCGTTATATTCTGTTTGATCCATTACGGAACAAGAAATCAGGATCACTACCAGATGTAAAAGTTATTATTGACTATCTCACTTGAGGGTAGGCTGAATCTAACTAGATCCATTACAACTTAACCTAAGGATTACCTCCATTTTTTCATGTACATTTCATGCTATAGATGAATTCAATTTCATTCTAGAAGGTAACAACCCTTACTGTGTACAAATAAGTAAATAGACCTTAGATCAAGTAGTAGAAGTCGATTCATCTATTGTTTTGTACGTAGGTTAATTTTGTTGTACCCACGTATCTGTCTGTATGTCTACATGTAGTTAAATACTTTACAAAAGTCGCTGTACTTTTGTTGTGTCGATAAAGTTCTCTACGTGATGCTGAGATCACATTTCCAAACCGGGGCCCGACCGGGCTGTTTCTTTTAACGAAAAATCAATTATCTGTATTAATGACTTACGCCACTAGTTTCCATAATTAATTTTTTCAACTTCTTTGTGCTTTGTTGTCTTTTAAATCATACTTTTCTTTCCATCATACAGCCCGACCGGGCCCCGGTTTGGAAATGTGAGCCCGGAATAATCTCTGGCTATAGTACAGAATGCTATTGGATGCAGCTATACCCTCGTCCTATTAATATGACATTGACATTAATGTATATATGATACGATGTGCAATACAGTACGTAAGGTTAATTGCCTTTCTACAAAGGTGAGTCCTGTGGCTATACTGTCACCTTCTCCAATTCTCATCGAGCAATTACCTTTTAAACTCCAACAGGCGCCACACCAGAGATTACATTAATTAAGCTAGCCCAGCAAGCTTTCATCTGTGGTCAGGATAATTACCTCTGTCGGTTTTTCAAAACTCGGTCATCATTTACGGCTCTTACTTTTAAGGCCACACCGGCTTAATTTTATGGATGACATCCGCGCGCGCATTGACTTTTGCATGTTCTAAAAAAAGATCACGTCCTCCGAGGCTCTGGCCTTGCTCTAGGCCTGGGTAGTCCATGATAGTTAGCGACAATACGAAGGTTGTAACTCTGGAGGATGGCACCCAGGCTGCCGAAGCTCCACGACTCAAGAACTCAGTACATACGTACAGTGCCAACTCATAAATTCCGCAAAAAGCCACTATGTGCCAGCTTCTCGTATACGTCGCTACGTACTGCCTCAAATTCACAATACCAGCTTTGTATTCCTGTGGTTTAGTAGCATTTTTATTTTTTGCCGGAATTTTCTTTATTCGCCCGCGCGCACTAGTTTGGGGTCTTCAGGGGATGTCATCCATAAAATGAAGTCGGTGTGGCCTAAGTGCCACCCGGCCTTCATCGACGTAATTAAGACTTCAAGAGCCGGGACGTCGGTTTAAAGTCGCGATTTTCGCCGTAAAACGCATTTAAGACAAGTAGGAAATTGCTGCTTAGTTTGTAATCACAGGGTAGTGTGTAATTTTCTAATCAGGGCAAGTGGTGAGCAGCCATGCCGCTTGGAGGAGTGTGAGTGATAATTGAGTCTCCAAGGCTGTCAGACGTCTCCGATGCGTATCGGTATCATCTCTGGGGACAGACAAAATGGTAAATCTCGCGCGCCTCCATTCCACTGTCTGGAAGAATTGGCCATGTTGATTCAATTATATGGATGGCATCCTCCTAGAACCCCAAAACTGATGCGAGCGTGCGAATAAATAAAAAGCTTGGCAAAAAAAGTTGCTTTTATTATTAAATCTACGTGGTCATGAAGGTTTAACAAATCACTAAACACACAGACACATGTAGTACGGTGTGGCGAATAATAGAATCTTTATTTTCATTTATTCAAATGTTTTTTTCTTTTCCTCGGAATTAACTTTGGCATTCTAAGACATTGGTATCATTCTCCAATTTTTTTGCAATTAGGCCATGTTGATTTGATTATATGGATGACATCCGCGCGCGCATGAATTTTCGGCCGTTTCAAAAAAATTTCAACCATACTGTAAATCGTACAAAACAGTTGCAAAATGAGCAAAAATATACCGTAAGTTACAAGAAAACCATACCAATGTCGTAGAATGCCAAAATCAAACGAAAAAAGACGAAATTGTAAAGAATAACTAGAAATGAACTTGAAGACTAGATTATTCGCCAAACCATATTCTGTCCCATTTGTTCAACCCTCATGACCACGTAGATTTCATAATGAAAACAACTTTTTTTTTGCAAAACTTTTTTTTATTCGCACGCGCGCATCAATTTTGGGGTTCCCGGAGGATGTCATCCAGATAATCAAATCAACATGGCCTTATTTTATCGGCATATATTTGCTAATTTTACAGTTGCTTTGTACGATTCACAGTATGATCGAAAACTTTTTATGGAAACAGAAAAAAGATCCATGCGCGCGCGTATATTACCCATATAATCAAATCAACATGCCCTAGTTCTTTCCAGTCATTTTCATCTTAAAAGGTCGGAGATCCAATCAAACCAGTTGCATGGTCTTTAATTGGGTGATGCTGGTTTTTACGTCCTTACATTTAACAACGCCCTTTACACATTCAACCGTATTACAGTGAAGAAAACATCTAATACATGTATACGATATACATAGCTTAATTGATTGTTTTATTAGGTGTTTATATTTGTACCGTTGGTTATAAGATAATCGTATCATCAAAAAGAGAAAGTCCCTACACGAAAGCCTACGAAATACTCCTTAAAGCTTGCGTAAAGCTACACGCAAATGGAGGAACTGAACGCATGCTTTAAGATGTGCGTAAAGAATTTTGTTTTCCAACATGTCATCACAAGACGTGGTGACGGCACACTCAAGTTGTTTTTTTTCAACTTATAGTAATGCCGCCACCAATACAAGAGAAATACAATACTCATTTTCACCTGAGCGAAGTGAGGAAAGTCGTGTAAAGTGCCTTTTCCAATGGCACAAGATCGGTGGCATGTCGGGACTCGAACCCGGGACCTCTAGGTTCCACACGACCCCATCCACCCATGTTAATAGATTTTGATCCTGGCGCAGCAAAAACGCGCAGCTAATGATTGATTTCGCCCCGCCAAATGAGAGACTAAATGAAGGATGCCCGACGAGAAAACCATACGCTATTGATGTGGCGATGATGTGGAATCATCGCGCCACTCTCTGTAATGAGAGGGATGCAATCCGCGCTGCGCTATATCTGCTCAATTCATCACGTCCTGGTTTGATCGATGTACAATACACGCACCTTTGCCCTGATTAATCAGAAAACTGGTCCGGTGCAGCCTGAATTCTCTCATGGCAGGAGTCAATATACGACCTTTCCCGCTAATTTTGTTCCCCCCGTGACGTCAGCACGGCTCTTGTCCAACACGCTTGCGTTCACGCCGGGTTTTCTGTGCCGATTCCCCGCCTACTAAACAAATCTATCTCCTCTGCATTGAGAGGAGTTGTGTCAGCCAACCATGGCTCGACCTGGGAGATCTTATTCCGTGCCTTCATTGCTCAATGGGCTTTCGAAGATCTAACGTGCCCGCGCACCGCATCGTAAGGCAAGCCTAGCCAGCGCGAGCGAGCCTTTGTGCGTGGTTTATCACTCACTTCCCAATGTTGGGTGGCTAGATGCCCATGTTTTGTTGTTGCAGTGAATCTTCAGGCAAAACATGGAGAATGGGCTTGGGTCAGTGCCGTTCTTCATAGCCATTTTCTGTGCTGCGTCGTTGTCGCTGGCAGACGACTTCAAACTTGCTGTGATACTCCCTGAGGACCCGCAGTACATGTGGTCACTACCGATGGTTATCCCCGGCATACAGATCGCCATAGAGAAGGTGGAGAACACTACGCTGTATCCACATAAGGTACAACTGGTGTACGACGACTCCGAGTGCTCCGGGAAGTGGGGCATGGTGGTCGCCGTGGACTTCTACATACACGAGCGGCCGCACGCCTTCCTGGGACCTGCCTGTAACTTAGCCTGCGCCCCGGTGGCCAGGCTGGCATCTCACTGGAACGTGCCGCAGTTATCAGCGGGGGCACCTGCGCTGGGATTCGAAGATAAGGTCACAGAGTATAACCTTTTAACACGGACGTTTGTCTCCTATGGTAAACTGGGGGAGTTCCTGGTCACCCTGTTCCGCCGCTATGGGTGGAACGATTCGGCAGTCATCTACAGTGACGATGACCCGACCAAGAAAACATATTTCCAGGCAGAGAGCATCGTCGTCAAGTTTGCCAACGCCGGCATCAACATCTACCCGAAGCCGGTTCTGAAGGGGGCAAACTACGAGGCCATTCTGAAAGACGTCAGCAAGCACGCCAGAAGTACGTACGCTATTTGATACGATACATTAACTCTTCCATGCCATTTCAGACTTAAAGGCATGCGTTGCTATTTCAGGGCGGCAAAACTCGATTTCAAAGTCAATTTTCTGGTCATTCTTTTAATGTAGTAAGTTGGATCAATCCTATCCCATAGCATACAGATATCTAACGGAAAACGGTTGCTTGCTTCGTATCGTAATCTGGTTCTTGCTATTTACAGCTGATATCCATAAAGTAAATGGAATCCTCATCACTTAGTTTGTTTTGTAGCTGAGTGATGTCAAACAAGTGCAGGGAAATGGCATTAAATGTCAACATTTCCTTATCCAGAATATTGTTTGTTTGGCCACCATGAAATTGCATTGGATGCCTTTAATGATGTATCTACAGTCTACAGTACCTAGTTATGGACGTCTAAATCTTATGTACAGAACCTTTAGTATATAACAGCCAACAGATGATCATTGATTGAATTTCCTACATTCGAAACAGCACGCAAATTTGTTTAAACTGGTGCAGCTACACTAGATGCCGAATTCCATCATAAGTTCAGTCTTGAGTAAATGATCTCATTTCACTGATGTGGCCATGTGAATGCACAGTGGTGTGGTCAATGAGGGCATTGGTACGTGTTTGTGGCCAGTACTACAGTGACCATTGAAATCGATGTTCAGTAACAAGGATAGGAATGCTTGTCATCCTTTTGTACAGACAATATGGTTAGTGTTGTATATTCAGCACTAAGGACAGTAATATTTGTTATTCCTACTGTACTGTATAGTGACTTTGGTTGATGTTGAAAGTTCAGGACCAAGGGCAGGGATAGTTGTTATTCTTACTTTACTGTATAGTGGCTTTGGTTGGTGTTGAAAGTTCAGCACCAAGGACAGGGATAGTTGTTATTCTTACTGTACTGTTTAGTTGCTGTGGTTGATGTTGAAAGTTAAGGACCAAGGGCAGGGATAGTTGTTATTCTTACTGTACTGTATAGTTGCTTTGGTTGGTGTTGAAAGTTCAGCACCAAGGGCAGGGATAGTTGTTATTCTTACTGTACTATTTAGTGACTTTGGTTGGTGTTGAAAGTTCAGCACCAAGGACAGAGATAGTTGTTATTCTTATTGTACTGTATAGTGGTTTTGGTTGATGTTGAAAGTTCAGGACCAAGGACAGGGATAGTTATTATTCTTACTGTACTATTTAGTGACTTTGGTTGGTGTTGAAAGTTCGGAACCAAGGACAGGGATAGTTGTTATTCTTACTGTACTGTATAGTTGTTTTGGTTGGTGTTGAAAGTTCAGCACCAAGGACAGGGATAGTTGCTATTCTTACTGTACTGTATACATTTGTAGTTACTTTGGTTGGTGTTGAAAGTTCAGCACCAAGGACAGGGATAGTTGCTATTCTTACTGTACTGTATAGTTGTTTTGGTTGGTGTTGAAAGTTCAGCACCAAGGACAGGGATAGTTGCTATTCTTACTGTACTGTATAGTGACTTTGGTTGTTGTTGAAAGTTTAGCACCAAGGACAGGGATACTTGTTATTCTTACTGTACTGTATAGTGACTTTGGTTGGTGTTGAAAGTTCAGCACCAAGGACAGGGATAGTTGTTATTCTTACTGTACTGTATAGTGGTTTTGGTTGGTGTTGAAAGTTCAGCACCAAGGACAGGGATAGTTGTTATTCTTACTGTACTGTATAGTGGCTTTGGTTGGTGTTGAAAGGTCAGCGCCAAGGACAGGGATAGCTGTTATTCTTGCTGTACTGTTTAGTTGTTTGGTTGTTGTTGAAAGTTTAGCACGAAGGACAGAGATAGTAGTTATGCTTACTTTACTGTATAGTGGCTTTGGTTGTTGTTGAAAGTTCAGCACCAAGGACAGTGATAGTTGTTATTCTTGCTGTACTGTGTAGTGACTTTGGTTGACGTCGAAAGTTCAGCACCAAGGACAGTGATAGTTGTTATTTTTACTGTAATGTATAGTGGTTTTGGTTGTTGTTGAAAGTTTAGCATCAAGGGCAGGGCTAGTTGTTATTCTTACTGTACTGTATAGTTGCTTTGGTTGGTGTTGAAAGTTCAGCACCAAGGACAGAGATAGTTGTTATTCTTACTGTACTGTGTAGTGACTTTGGTTGGTGTTGAAAGTTCAGCACCAAGGACAGTATGACACATGTAAAGTATGGCTAATGTGTTCCAGGTTCATCCATTAGCACAAGGTCCCCATAGTTCATTCGTTTTCACTGTGTCGATACCGTTTAGCTACACCGTACATATTGAATGACATATATGCAGCATGAAACCTAGAAAATTGGGAAGTCAGAAGGTTACACGTCAATGACGCAGTGGGTCTGGAAGCCGCACCGTTGAAAAGGCCGATGGCAGTTAGATAATACAGCTTGTATTCTGTGCGCATCTCCTAGAGGTTAGACTTCTGCGGTAAAGCGTGAGTTACTACCGTAGATACGGTATACTATGTGTTATTGAGATTTGACCAGCAAAATAATCACAAAAGTTAGCTGAAAATAGAACATGTTAAAAAGCTATCTAAGGCCCCTGTCACCCATAGCCGAATATAGTCGACTTGGCGTGGTTGACAGTAGGTAGTAGGACCAAGGTTGGCTGGTGTTCAGCCAGGTCCGCTACTCTTCGATGCGTCTCCCGAATGTTTTAAAAACTTTCGAAAATTTCGGATGTGGATTGAAGTTTGGACCATGGTTGCTTCGTGGTTGCATGGTGTTCATAAGTAGTTTGGGGCGTGATTGGCTGGTGTTTGGGGAAAGGTTCTGAGTGTGTGACAGGGGCTTCAGCCAACCTTGGTCGACTGGTGTTCGGGGGAAGGTTCTGAATGTGTGACAGGGGCTTCAGCCAACCTTGGTCGGCTGGTGTTCGGGGGAAGGTTCTGAATGTGTGACAGGGGCTTCAGCCAACCTTGGTCGGCTGGTGTTCGGAGGAAGGTTCTGAATGTGTGATAGGGGCTTCAGCCAACCTTGGTCGGCTGGTGTTCGGGGGAAGGTTCTGAATGTGTGATAGGAGCTACAGCCAACCTTGGTCGGCTGGTGTTCGGGGGAAGGTTCTGGTTGAGTGACAGGGGCTTAGCCTTAGTGAAATGCATAGCACTGCAGAGAAATGAGGAGAGACACCTGCTATAGTTGTGAGGAATTGTATCAATAGAGAAATGGAAGGAAGTTGAGAAGACCTTCAACCGTCGATGTGGATGTTGTAGTAATAAGTCAGACTAACGCTGGTAAAATGAAATCGTGCTTTTCACTGTTTTTGACCTCTGTCGACCGTTCAGAGAGGGCAGGATAACGAAGTCTCGTGTTAATGCATCGTGACACACATAGTCAATCACCATAACAGATAGCTACATGTTAATACTAAGTCACCATTATATCCAGCGGAATTTCAGGGCGGCAAAACTGGATTTCCAAAATCAATTTTTTGGCCATCCCTATAATGTACAAGCTGAAAATTTAATCAATCCTATCCCATAGCATACTGATATCTGTGAGATACAAATTCGATGTCACTGACGGAAAACGGTTGCTTGATCTGTATGTTAGGCTGGTTCTAGCTATTCATGGGTGGTAGACCGGTACCCAAAAATTAAACGTTTCACGTAGACTATTTTAGGGTTTTTTTCCGGCGGGGGGGGGGATTTCAAAAGGTTTAAGTATGAAATGATGACAACAATGAGGTGAGAAATGGCTGTTAATATCAATATAATATTTCCCCGTCCAGAATATTTTTTGTCTTTCCCCCTGAAATTGTATTGTATATCTTTAAGGCACTACGTGTAGGGGTCTTGGAAAACGACTCGTGAGCCGAATGATCTTTGTAAATTTTGTTTAACCTTAAGACCCAGAGAACGCTTGTTAAATTTAAAGAACGGTTCCTATTTCGGCTATCATACCTTCATCTACAAGGAATAAAGCTATATAAATGTGGCTCATAACTGAAAACAGAAATCGCTATCTTCCACACATGGCCCTGAACCATGATTTGCAGTACATACAAAATACATGAGTTGTAGGACTGCACCGGAAAGGACCACACATGTCTCATTACGAGTGAGATACTAGGGATCATTTGATACCACACTTGTCCTTGAAACATGTTGTGGCATTAGCCACAAATACAATCAACTCATCTACAGCCAGCAAGTAGTGCCTGCGATCCATTTTCATGATGGTAATGGGAAGAGAAGAGAGAACGCCATGATTACTATAACGCTGTTACTGTCATGCTGGAAAACATTCGATCAATGCTGCAACCTAACCTGCTGGATTTCTCACTACATGACCCGCATACAAATCAAATCTCTGTGTGAATGTCTTTACTTAGTGTACAACGAACCACTAAACACTTTCTATAGCCACCTTTTAAACATTCAGAATCTTCCTCTGAATACCGGCCGACCGAGGTTGGCTGAAGTTTGGGAGCAGCGGACCAGATTGACGCCTACCGTTCTATATGAATCAAATTTGAGTCAAATATAAGTGTCAACCACGCCCCGATCTACACCCGAACACCAGCCAACCACCAGCCAACCATGGATGAACCTTCCGTCCACACCCGAATGTCTTGAACATGTTAAAACATTTGGCTGTTGCAGCTGAATTGTAGCCGACCTGGCCAACATTGCTCATCATCATCATCATTGCTCACAACCTACCATGGTTGGGGAGAGTTCGGATAGTGTGACATTTTTGGCTATGTGTGGCGTTAAGGCCACGCCAATTTAATTTGTTGCTTCTCGGATCCCCCTGTCCATTTTTTTCTGATTTGCAACGAAAAAAATTGGGGGGGGGTCTAAATTAAATGCAACATGCTCAATGAAAGACATATTTTGGCCCCAAAGGTTGCAGAAAGCCCTTTTCTTCCTAAATCTTAAAGTTTTTCAATGTAACAATGCAATTTTGTTTCATTAAAAGTTCAAAATCTGTTGTTTTATTAATAATGTATGCAATTAGCCCTCGGGCAGGAATTTGCAATAAACAACTAT